CAGACTGACCTCAGATCTCACAGAGATCCGCCTGCCTCTGCCTCCCAAGCACTGGGATTAAAGGTGTGCGCCACCACCGCCCGGCTGCAAGTTTTTTCTAAAAAACAAACAGCAACTAGCGTGTGATAGGTGAGTATTCTGCCTCTGAACACCACCCTACCTTGGACATTTTCAGGGACGTACACAACCCTGTACCGGGAGCCTCCAGATCCAAGAAATCAGCTGGGGTGTACTATCCTGCAGACCTCACACTTCCCAGTTTTTCCATAAAAGCTTCTTATCCTGTTGTTTGCTCAAACTGTTAGCAGCCACCACTTAAAGGAAGACATCTGAGTGTTCCTGGCAGCTGCCACCGATGCAAAGAGTTAATGGACGTGAGCATCAGGAGAGATAAACGCAGCTTATCAGTGAGCGCTCCAGAGGACTAGGACCAGCTCACTGAAGTCTCTGCAGTTGAGGAATCTGTTTCCTGTGGTGCCCTAAACGGAACCCAGGACCTAGCACAAACTACACCCCAGCCAATGGTTTTTTGAGATAGGGTCTCCCTACATAGCTCAAACTGACCACAAACTCAAAAATGATCCTCTTGCCTGTCCATCCTGAGTGTTGGAATTTCAGGTGTGTGTCACCATGCCTAGATAAATTAAGTCTTAAAGAATTCCAACTATCTTCTGTCTTTCCAGGGAGCTTCTGTAAACAGACTGCTTTGGTTTCCCGGCCACCCAGACCTAAATAATCACACCAAAACTATATTACTTATAGCACTGTTTGGCCAATGGTTCAGGCATATTCCTAACTAGCTCTTATATCTTAACCCATTTCTATTCATCTGTGTAGCACGACCAGGCTGTGGCTTGCCGGTTAAGTTCTGAAGTCCTCCTTCGGCAGCTCTATGGTGTCTGGCTGACTCAGCCTTTCTCCCTGCATTCGGTTTAGTTTTTCTGCCTAGCTGTTCTAACTATATTCTTCCCCTGTCATGGGCCAAAGCAGCTTCTTTATTGACCAATGGTAATAAAACCTAGTCACAGCATACAAAGGGGAATCCCTCATTAGGCTTCCAGGCTGTTGAACCTTTTTGAGTTCTAGCCCAACTCTGGCCTTGAACTTCTGCAATCCTAATTCAAACTTCCCTGTGCTATAATTTCAGGACTGTAGGTTTTCAGTAAGAGCAGGCCATTGGTTTTCTGAAGTGTGGTGAGACCAGGGAGGGTAGAGGATGACCCAAGATTCAGACCAGCATCATTTTCTTCTGGTACCACTTTTATTTTGATAGCACTGGCTCCATGCCCTTCATTGCCAAGGACGCTGAGGAGAAAATGAAATATGGAAATAATGCTGTGGGAGATGACCTAAGGTTTAGGCAGCACTTTGGCTCTCTTTGGAGGTGGGACAATTTTTAAAAACTATTTTATTGGTATTGTGGGGTAGAGGCGCACACATGCCATGGCGTATGTGTGTGTATAGAGGTCAGAGGACACGGAGTTGGCCCTAGCCCTGTGCTTTTCCGAGGGTTCCAGGGGTTGGATGCAAGCCATCAACATCACTCAGCAAGCATTTTATCCACTGAGCCATCTCATCGGCCTAAGACAGAAGAATTTCATTGTTTATCTAACTCATGCCTGTGGACTAGTTCACATCAGAGCTGTCATGCAGCCTCAACGACGCAGGCTGGCCTCCATAGCCTGTTAAGCAGAACGCTCGCACCGAGCCACCCTGAACGTCCACAAAGACACAGTGCTCTGCTTCCCAAGTAGTAACTCTCGGAAGCTGGTATTGCCCTCCATAACCAAGTTTTTAAAACAACTGTCTTACTTTCCTCTTAAACACCAGTGCTAAAGTAAGAATTTCTCATATTCCCACAGATGGAGAGGACCACTGCTAATATTTTATCAGGTATGAGCTGTCTAGGTTTTTATGATGTTCTTAGATAATTATAGCATTTGCCTTATGAAAAATGAGCTTGTTCTGCATATATGTTTTACAACTTATTAACTGACATGGACATAATATATTTATACTCCCCTAGTTGTTTTTAAGGCCTGGGCACGGACGGACCTTGCTTGTCTGAAGTAAGCACCTACCACTGGGCTACATCCCCAGCCCTTCCTACTCAGCAGCCATGTATAATCCCTTTCCTCTATTAGCCAAAGATGGTAGCCTTCCAGGCCCAGATCCCATTTACAGACCAAAGAAGTTACTGTTCAGTAGAATTTATAGGCACCACCAGACGGTGGTGGCACACGCCTTTATCCCAGCACTCAGGAGGCAAAGGCAGGTGGATCTCTGAATTTGAGGCCACCCTGATCTACAAGAACTAGTTCCAGGACAGGCCCAAAGCTACAAAGAAACCCTGTCTCGGAAAGATTTTCTAGGTACCATCTCCACACGGTGACAAGCCTCGTGAACGGCACAGCTCGCCACCTGCGTGGTGTCTGATGACTGCTGACGTTTCCACCCTGCTCTCGTGTCCTGGGCACTATGAACATGTTAGAGCAAGTCTACACTCCCCTTTGGCACCGTTACACACCTAGGAAATCATTCCAGTCCTTGTCTGCCACTCATGCTGTCCCTAGCTCTATAAGCTTGGGTTTGCTTGGGGAAATTCAGAAGTCTTCAGGAGCCAAGCCAAGATAAAAAGTCCGACACTAACTAGACAATATACGTGCCAGTGTTGACCCTGGTAGCCTGTGCTTTTAGAAATCTGAGAGACATTTCCAGAAGAGTCCAAACGTGGCAAGAAACTGATTTATTCTTTGACCAAAGCACCTTTTCTCTTCATTTCTGCTAAGAGCAAATAGCAAATAAATGAACACTTAGAGCCTTGCAATGCACGCCTTTAATCCCAGCACTCAGGTGGCAGAGGCAGGTGGATCTCTGCGTTTGAGGCCCGCCTGGTCTACAGAGCAAGTGCCAGGACTGTTACACAGAGACCCTGTCTTGAAGGGGAAAAAAAAAATCATAGACTTTTACACAGAATTTCTCTTAATCTGTGCTCACAAAAAAAGTAAATGTGTGCATGTATGTGTGTGTTGTATGATAAACGCATGTTGCACATGTGTGTGCAGGCACACTAGCCCATACACACCTGGAGACCAGAGGCTGATGTTGGGTGTCTTCCTCCACCACTCTTCGCCCTGAGTTTTGAGGCAGGGTGTCATTGAGCCTGCAGATCATTGCTTCATTCAGCTTGACTGGCTGGCAGGCAAGATCCCAGGATCCACCCGTCTCTGCTCCCATACTTAGGTGTTTAGCATGGATGCTGGGGCTCAAATACAGGTCCTCACACTTGTCCAGCAAGCACTTTGTCCACTTTTGGGGTTTCATGTAGCCCAAACCGACTTTGAATTCAGCCTCCTTCCTCCACCTCCCAAGTGCTGGAATTTACAACATGTACCACCACGCCTGGCTTCTGTTCCAAAACTTCTAAATGTTCTTTACTTGCACACTGTTTGCAGACAAGGTCTCATGTAGCCGAGGCTGGCCTTAAACTCACTATGTAGCTGAGGATTGGTCTGTCTCACTTCCTGGGTGCTGGAATTATAGGGGTGTGCTTCCACCTCTAGTCCCCCACACATGTATCTGAACTATAATGTAGTGATTGCTCATGAGAGGAAGGAAGGAGGCCCACTGCCACCCACAGGCTGTGTCCTGGCCACATGTCTCCAAGTGGAGCCCACCAGAAGCTTCCAGGAAACTGACTTCGGTACCCTCCAGTATAAATGCTTTTCTGGGTCTCAGGACAGGCAGCCCAGCCATTCCCTGGTCCTGGCCTTTTTTTTTTTTTTCTTTTTTTTTTTATTTATTTATTAAAGATTTCTGTCTCTTCCCCACCGCAGCCTCCTCTTTCCCTCCCCCAATCAAGTCCCCCTCCCTCGTCAGCCCAAAGAGCAATCAGGGTTCCCTGCCCTGTGGGAAGTCCAAGGACCACCCACCTCCATCCAGGTCTAATAAGGTGAGCATCCAAACTGCCTAGGCTCCCAAATATATAAAGACTCAAGAAACTAGACCGTAAAAGGCTAATCAACCCAATTATAAAATGGGGCACTGAGCTGAACAGAGATCTCTCAACAGAAGAAGTTCAAATGGCCAAAAGACACCTAAGGTCATGCTCAACTTCCTTAGCGATCAGGGAAATGCAAATCAAGACAACTTTAAGATACCATCTTACACCTGTCAGAATGGCGAAAATAAAAAACACCAATGATAACCTTTGCTGGAGAGGTTGTGGAGAAAGGGGTACCCTCATCCATTGCTGGTGGGAATGGTCCCGACCTTTCATTGCAAGGAAAAGCCAAAGAATGCTACAGCCCACAGGCCCTTGGCCTTTGGAGCGGCTACACACCTGCAGCTGGGGGTGGGGCACAGTGGGAGAGAGCAGCTGTGCTTGTTAAGCCCTAGGTTAGCTTGACAAACAGAGAAGCAAAGAGAAGGAAGGGGGAGGTGGGAGAGCACTCCCTAGGTAAAGGGCTCGCTGTGTGGTCAGACGGGCATGAGCTCCACCCTCAAAACCCACATTTAAAGTAAAAAAAATGAGAACAGCCATGGTGGCGATGCGCGCTCATGTTCCCAGTGCTGCAGCAGTGAGCACAGGCAGATCTTGCTGGCCAGTCGCAGGCCAGTGAGAGACCCTGTCTGAAAACACACACACACACACAGAGGACTGCTTGCTGGAATGATAATTCCTCATCTGATTCATTGGATGAAGACCACAAGAGGTGGCAGGTACCCACCATGTTGGATGTTCCTCTAAGGCAGAGGAGAAGCTAACAATATACAGTGTTTCCATTAAAGAAAAAAAAAAAAGTTTAGCGTCCTGGGTCCTAGTGGCATTTGCCTATGATCCCACCCTCAGGAAGTTGAGGCAAAAGGATCAGGGGTTCAAGGTCAGCCTCAGCTGCACAGCAAGTGCGCGTAAGACCTGTGTCCAAAGCAAAATGAAGAACAAGGGAAAATCACTCTGCCTACGGTTTCTATCCAACAGGAGTAAGTTCAGGACTCTATTCACGTTTCACGCTTTTTATTGACATTCAGGAAGGGCCGGGCATGGTGGCAGGCCGTCTCACTGTCCCAGATTACCCAGGCTTTGTACAGCGTGGTTAACAGCATCGGTAACAGTGTGGTTCACCTTCTCGCTCATCTCCTTCACCACTCTGTCCCCTGATTCTTGGGCTGTCTTCAGGGCATTGGTAACGACTGTTGGAAAAAGAAAGAAAATCGTAGGAGTAAGTGATCCAGTGTTTCCAGCAGGAGAGGCCTGGGGGGGGAGGTCATCTTAGGGGACCAATCCTGGGGGCTCCAGGAGGAAGAAGGGACGAGTGCCAGTGTCATAATGAATCCCAGTTTGGTTTGGTTTTCCCCAACCACTCATTTCTTCACGTTTGAGTAAGGCAGCACAGACAGCTCACGAGTGCACTGGCTACTTTTTTACACTGTTTCTGGATAGTGCTTCTTCGTCTTCTCTGACCATTTTTATGAAGATTGCTATATTTTGGTTACTGTTTCTGTCACGAGCATTTATCACAGAGGTCTGTGGCCTTCCCTTTGACTTAACTCCCGTTGCGCTTTGCTTCGCTTTTTGCATTCCTGTCCCTGGCCCCTCCTGTGACGTTTCAGATCGACAGCTTTGCCTAGTGTTTTCTCTATGACTACTGTGCTGTCCTGTGGTTGTTTTCAAGAGCCTCCCCTCTCCACGATTATACTGAAGTCTCTCAGGACACTTCTTTGATCTGAATTTCTGTGTCCCCCAAATTCCATGTTGTAAATCCTCCTTGAGATCACGCCATGGAAAGGTGGGCTGTGCTGCTGGCTAGGTTAGCAGGATTGGTGGAGCCTTGTGAGCAGGAAGGCTAAAACCCAAGAGAGCAAGCCGGTTTTTCAGCCAAGGGAGGACATAGCAGAAAGATGTCACATAAGCCAGGTGCCAGCTTCACCAGATGCCCAGTGCTGCCTGGGGCTTCCAGACTTCAGCACCGAGAACAACCCTTTTTTTTTTATTTTAAGGTTTTCAAGATGGGTTTCTCTGTGTAGCCCTAGCTGTCCTGGAACTCACTGTGTTGACCAGGCTGGCCTTGAACTCATATACATCCACCAGTAGAGATTAAAGGCATGCACCACCACCGCCCAGTTTATCAATACATTTCCTTCTTCTTTCCCATCTTTTTGAGTGAGAGTCTCACTACACATGTACCATAAGGGGCTGGTATTCATTATGTAACCCGGGCTAGCCTCAAACTCAGTTTTCTCGCCTCATTCTCCCTAGTTCTGGGGTCATAGACATGATCCACCATGCGTGGCTATAGAAATAATAAATTTCTGCTGTGTATGAACCATTGAATTTACAGCAGTTCATTTTAGCTGTTTGAACTTAAACAGTTTAATATACTTGTATATTTAAATGTAAATCCTTCACCCAGCTGGACCCTACTTCGTTGTAAAGATTGGAATGACATATGTTCTGTACACTGTTCTACTCATGGCATATCACATACACAGTAAGTTGTTATACAAATACATATTAAGATACATACTTGTCTATTTAATCATTGTGTCCCCTGTGTGCTGCCACATCACTTTCCGTGGCCTTATCTTCTTCAGAGCCCACAGAGAAAACAGCCTAGATGGAGCCCTAACACAAGGTACACCTGCACAGATAATTGCATCCGGGGAGAATGCGCAGATAATTGCAGCCCAGCTGAGAGGATGCTACATCTGGGGCAGGGCTGGGTCTTGTTGAGCAAGAAAAGGATTCGCCCTAGAACAGGGCTCCCTCCCTCCCTCTCTGTGTCCCTGCCTGCTGACTCCATTCTCTCTCTACTGTTCCTGTGCTGGGGACACAACGACTTCACGGTAGGAAAGTGCTCTACCTCCGAGCTACACACCCACGGCTCTGCCTCCTCTCCTTCCCTCCTTTTCTCCTGCCTTATTTTCCTCCTCCCCATTCCCGTCTTCAAACAGATCAGCCTTACCCTTCTCTCCAGCCTCCTTGACAGTGTCCACCACCTCCTTCACCACCTCCTCCACTGCATGAACTGAGTAGAAAAGACAAATTCAGAGTGAGGGTGTGTGTAAGCCCACTTCCCCTCACAGTGACCCAGGATGCTCTGGGCAGTAAGGTGTAAGCCCACTTCCCCTCACAGTGACCCAGGATGCTCCTAGACAACATGGAGAGACTCTGCGATGCTGCCCTTAGTCAGGGGAGACGACTTAGGAAAACCCCTAGCTGCCTCCCTTGGTAGAACTCCCCAGATGCCTGGCTGCTGCAGACACACAGGGCGCTCCCTGCCCCTCTCTGCCTGGATGAGCATGGATAACAAGAACAGCCTTCTGCCAGCTGGGAACCTGAGGCAAGACAGCTGTTTGTCAGTCTGCCACACCTGTCAGGACGAGCTGACCGGCTGCTTCAGCCTCCTCTGTACGTCTCCAGAGAAGTTAAGTTCCTCTAGGCGACTCTTCCTGGAAGAGGTAGTCCCTACCCACCTCCGGGTTCTGGAGAGTTTGGGTAGGAGCATGTTAGAACCCGAAGACTTGAGAGAACCATTCCTAACACTACTTCCGCTGCCATGTCCCTCACAGCTCAGACGGCTGGAAGATTAAGAAGAGGTCGGATGTGGAGCTGAGGAGTTTAAAATGAAGTACATGCTGCTCTGTCTACAGCCATTTCCAAAGAGAACAGCAAACTCAACACAGGTTTCATCTGTGTCCCACAGTGGGACTCGTGAACCATGGCCACAGAACCATGTCCTAAGTTCTTGGAAGAAATGTCCTTTTAGATTTTGAGCAGGACCAGACTCCATGTTTCATAATAACAGAGCCTACGAAGTGTGGTGAAAATCAAAACCCGTCTTCCTTTTTCTCTGGGTCAACAAATCAAATAGGCAGGATTTTTGTTTCAATTTGTTTTATAGTTCTTGCAAAAATCCAGGGCCTTGTGCAGACAAAGTGTCCTACCACTGAGCTGCACCCTCAGGCCCGAGAATAAGCAATGTTAACAGAAAGGTACTCTCGGCTTCCAGGCAGAAGGACCTAAGCCACCAGCATCTGGATTCTGTCTGCCTCCAGAAGCCTCCACAGGGCTGGCCTCATCCTGACCTCCGGGGAAGGCTCAGCCTAGGTCATGGAGCAAGTCCCTAGTAAGGAAGCTGCTTGGCCAGTGGCTCTCGACTGAAAAATTACCCCAGCCTTTGTGCCCCCAACTCTGCTATCTCCTGGTGGGACCACTGAGCCAAGCTTCCTGATGGGCCTCAGCCTCAGTCTACCCTAAGGAGGCTCTTGCCTGCTTTCCACAGACCCAGAGAAGTCTGCCCTCAGCTTCCGGGCAGCTAGAAAGCCCTGGCCCCTTACCTGCTCCCTCAGTGGCTTTCTCAGTGCGGTGGGCCAAGCCCTCAGCGGCCAGCTTCCCCAAGCCTCCCAGCATCGTCCAGCCGTAGACAGTGACAGATACAGTGCCAAAGGCTGGATTAGTGTGCTTTTATACATGCCTGTGACGGCCTGCCAGGCTCCAGGGCACCAAGCCCTTACCGAGCCAATAGGAACTGGTGAGTCAGTTCAGGGCCTGGGTGGGGCTACCCCAGTATGTGCACTACCCTCCTCTCAATGAGCCCCCCTATTTCCTCTACTAGGAGCCCCAAAAAGCCGGGACAAGGCAGAACCAGAGAAGTCACACTGGACATGTCTTGTCCCACGGCAGGCGCCTTGAGCGCACTGTGAGCTAACGTGGCAGTGCTTAGGAACCGTTGTTATGCCAGGCCCTGGCTAGGGCCTGAGCTCCCTGACCTGAGCTCAGACTTGTTGCCTGATGGCAAAGCCTCCAGCCTACCTGCCAGGGTCTCCACAGTGGCCTGGTCAGGCCGAGGTCCTACTGCCTTTCCCACTGCAAGGGACCACGGCCCAGCTGAACGGCCTCATGGTCTCCACCTGACAGGATGCTCAGAGTGTGGCCTCGCCCTCTGGAGGACACAGCGCTGGCCAGGTGCATGGTCATCCTGGCTCAGTCAGCTGATTTTCAGTCAGCCTAGGCCCTGGCCGAGTGACGGGGGCAGCCAGCCTGAGGGAGAGTCCTGGCCACTTTGTACTTTGGAGTGCAGCTTCTAGGGACATTCTCTAAGTGTAAGAGTTGCCCCACATCCTAGACATGTAGGCCAAAGACACCATCGCTGCTTGGGAAGCTGGCTCTCACTCGAATAACCCCGAAGAGCAGCTCCATAGCTTCCTGGTATGTCTCATCCAGAGAGGTCAGGCTTCCTCCCTCATTACTCAGGGTAGGCAGAGATTCCTCAAGCCGCATACCACACGTTGCCTCCCTTAATCACTAGCCTAAGCAAAGCCTCAGTTTCCTCATGCATTAAATGGGACAGCTATGCCTTCCTGGCTGTCACTACTAGTCAGTGGGACAAAGCACGCAAGCTCTTGCAAATACCTGGTCGCTCCTGATCACCGTGGATATGCTGGGGAAGTTCCTCTTGGCCCTAGGCCCCACTCACTACAGCAGTGGGCCAAGGCCAAGGTGCAGGGGGTGGGAGACCCCGCAGAGCTAGAGAGCTAAGGGATGTGGACTCCATTGGCCTAGGGACGGGCAGAAGGTCCTTGTGACGCTCCCACTCACAGGGGCTAGACCTGGGTCAGGAAGCTGGGGCCTCCTCCCTGGGAAGCCTCTCTCACCCCCTCAAGGCCATCCTGCTGGGTGTGACAGAACTTAATTAGTGTTTACCTGATCAGGGCCCTCATAGCCCATGTCCTTCAGAGCTGAGGTCCTTTCCCATTCCTGTACAGTGTCGGCGGGCCCTGGGCTGTGGCAAGGCAGTTAAAGGGTGCGCTGGGCAACAGGACCTCCGGTCACATGACCAAGCCCCACACGTTATTGCTGACTCCTTAGGGCAGAAGTGGACAGACATTTAATTTGGAGCAGCCCAGTATAGGAACAGGAAGGGTGGGGAAATGACGCAGAGGGTAGAGCGCCTACCACGTAAGGGAGAAGACCTGAGTTCAAATCCTAGGACCCACATAAAGCAGGAACGGCCATGATCCTAGAACTGGTACAGGAAAATAGGACAAAGACAGGAGGGCCCCAAGATGCTTGTAGGCCAGCTAGCCAGGTGTGCACTGGGGGAAAGATCAAAGAGAGGCTCTGTCTCAAATAAGACGGAAGGTGCGGGCTGCTGCCCTCCGCTGTCCTCTGTCCTACATGGGTGTCATGGCACACACATGCCCACATTCACACACACAAGGTGCACACACACAAAGACTTTTTTAAAAGAAAGAAAAAGAACAAAGATTCTTGCTAGTTATATAAGAGAATGAATGTACGTGTGTATGTACTGTATGTATATAACCCCACAGGTGGGGAAAGGGCCATGAAAGTGGGGTCCCTGGAACTGAAGAAGGTTCAGCCCACCTTATCCTTCCCCACTTAAGGCAAAGTTCTAGAGGGTTCCACTCGGGACATTAGCTTGGGGAAGGAGTGTACAGCCAGTGGGGATGGGACTTCAAAATACATGGAGATACTTTTGGACCCACCAAAGGCCCTGTTTCTACTGAGGGTGCCTGTGACCCCTACTCTCACAAGGGTCCTCTCTTGATCTCCCCCTGCTAGCTTTAGAAAGACTTCCAGAATTCTCCCTGTAGGCCCCCAGCCTAGTTCTCAGCATGGTTCTCCTCTCTGAAGTTCCCCAGCCCCAATAGACCCCTGTCAAGAGTCAGCCTACACAGCCCAGGATGATACTGTGACCCCCACCTGGTCAGCCCACACAGCCCAGAACAGTGCTGTGATCCCCCCATCAGCCCACACAGCCCAGGACAGTACTGTGACCCCCACCCGGTCAGCCCACACATTCCAGGATACTGTCCCTCCCTCTTCCCGCCCCTTCAGCCCTCACAGCCCAGGATAGTGCTGTGACCCCCACCTGGTCAGCCCACATGATCCAGGATGCTGTCCCTCCCTCTTCCCGCCCCATCAGCCCACACAGCCCAGGAAAGTGCTGTGACCCCCACCTGGTCAGCCCACATGATCCAGGATGCTGTCCCTCCCTCTTCCCGCCCCATCAGCCCACACAGCCCAGGAAAGTGCTGTGACCCCCGCCCCTGTCAGGCACCACTTCCCAGAGACCCTGCCCTCTTTAGGACACTGTCTCCGGGTGACTACTCCAGTGACGTCACACTGCTGCTCTTTGCCCAGACACACATCCCAAATGCCTGGCCAAGAAAGGTAGAGGGACCTGGAGAAGCTGAACGGCCCGGAGGTGGACTTAGTTCCCTACCCTCCCGCTCTGGCCCAGGTCCAGTCTCACTGGTCACTCAGATTCAGCTGTGACCCGATCCCTGTGCTCCCAAGCCACCCTGAGAGTCCCAATAGGCCTTCTGGACTCTTCTAGACGCCTGGGACAGGACCCCTTTCTCGCCAAAGATTCTCCTAACAATGGATGGATCCCGGCCTGTGTCTGCGTGGCTGGGCAGCTTTACCTGTCCGCACGAGGCTGCAGATGACTTAGGTGAAGTCTGCCCTCTGTTTCCCCATCCAGGGGAGCAGCCCTTGAACACAGGCACCCAAGCCAACCTTCCCTGAACCAGCAGGTCAGGTCTAGTCTTCCTAGGGCAGGGAGAATCTGGCTTCGACAGGAGTAAACTAATTCTCCTCGGAGAATTTGCTCAGCAACCAAGTTTGGCAAAGGACCTCCTGACTGAACCATCCAGTCGAGAAAAGCTGATTTTTCAAAGGCCCGTCGCCAACTTAGCAAAGACCAATGCTCTATTTAAAGTTGTTTACGTTGGATGGCTAAACACATAAGCTGCCTCATGTCTGACAGACACAAACATCCAAAGGATGGCGGTCCATCCCGCCTCTGCTTCCTCACACTTTGGCCTGCAGATCTGAGTTTTTTAGCAGATATTTCTGTACCCATAAATCCCACACATGCTGAGCCCTCCTGGCCAGAGTGGAGCCTTAAGTATCCAGACTCTCAGAGACCTGGCTTGTGGGGTCGCCCAAAGGAAGCCATGCCCGGCGTTAAGTCATCCTACACATAAACAGGGTACCAGCTAGACGCCTGGTGAAATGTATGCTCACGGAAAGGGGCCATGCACAGGGTGAAAAATAAGAGACACTGGGGGGGGGGGGGCTAATCGTCAGGAAATATGACACCTGGTATCTGTCTGGAGGGGCATTAAAGGGTTTGTCTCCTGGAGCCTTGGCTGTGGAAGAATCAAGGGACAGAAACTACAGCCGTCGTCAGAGAACACATGGCCTCTTCTAAACTCAGCACAAGAAGGGGGGCAGCTAAGGAAGTAAACCACCTATCGTCTTCCTCCCCAGACTCCAGCCAGCATCTTCTGATCTGGTCCCAATCAGGCTCACAGGCAGGAATCCAGTAAAGCAACCCAGGGGAGCTGTCCAGGAAGGAACTGGTAGAGAGTGGGTGCGGAAGGAGATCAGGCTTAATTCTAAATGCCCATCTCTCCTCCTTGGAACTGTGTGAAACAACAAAAGAAAGAAAGAGAAGGCCCACTGTCATGCTCCATTTCAGAGAACCGGGAGACAGGAGGTGTTTGGAAACCCAAAGTCAAGTGAGCAGAGAAGAACCTGTGTGGGAAGTCAAAGGGTGGAGTAATGGATGGGAGAGGCCAGCAGGGCACAGGGACCTCCAGCAGCAGAAGGGACTCCTGGGGACAGAGTGAGGCACGAAGGAATGGGTGAAGGTGCTCGTGGAAGTCCAGGCGTGTGGACATCAGAGAATCCCCGGGGGATGACACCGGTGTTAGAACGCTGGCCGCAGACTCTTCCTGAAGCTACGTTTTGAAAGACAGAAGGGTCTTGGCAATACCTCGGGAAAGGAACAGCTCTCCCCCGCTGTACCTCTTCCCAAATGCTGCTGTAAGAGATGTTCTGCTCCATACTGGAGTCTCAGGTCCCTGGCAGGGCTTCCCAGGTGGAAAACACAGGGGTTCTGTCTGACAGAGCATCTTTTTGTCTCCCAGTGCTCAGGCACACTCCTTATGTTCCTCCTCCACCTCCCAAATGTTCCCATCCTCCCCATCTGCAGCACAGTGAGCAGAACCAGGGAGCCAGTCACAGTATAGGGGACTAATTTCACAGAAGAAATATATTAATTTAACTAAATGATTTAAAGTTGTCTCATTTAATAATCAGTCATTTGCATTTTTGAGTTTGTTTAGTTTTGTCTCTGGTTTTGTTTTTGTTTCTTTTGAGGCAGGGTCTCATATAACCCAAGCTGGTCTTTAATTCACTACGTAGCTAAGGATAGCCTTGAACTCCTTATTTTGAAATGAATTTAAATTAGTGAACTGAATTAAACTGAACAGACTAGCTAGGCATGGTGACTCACAATTATAATCTTAGCATTCAATAAAGTGGGGCAGGAGGATTACAGTTTGAATTTGAGGCTAATCTCGGCTACAGTGTGAGATCCTATCTCCAAATAAAACACAATACTAGATCAAGTAGGCTCTGGA